CTTTTGTTGATTAAGAAGTAGAGAATGTATTTTTATTAAGAAAATTCCTACATTGGAAAGAAAAACTACAGACCCTTGGGAAGAGGATGGTTCTCATGTCCAGACTTTCAGCTGTGTTTGTAGTTACAAATACAGCTATAATTGTGACGTTGAGATTTTCAGTTTTCTGTGAAAAATCAAAAGGTATATACAAGGTGTAGCCTCTTCAAAAGGAAAAATGAATCAACAGGAACTGTCCCTAAGAAAGACCAGATGTGGACTTGCTTGACAAAGACTTTAAAACTTAAAAAAAAAAATTTTTCTATAGAATGTGTGTGCTTCCTGGAGAGAGAGAGAGAGAGTAAAAAAGCACAGCCTGGGAGGATGATCACACTGCAGTTCCTTCTCCTCCATTCTCCTCTCAGGATTTTTGGCACATGTGCACACATGCCCAGCATGTTTTTTTGGTTGTTTTTTTTGTTTTTTTTTTTGAGAGGTTTTTGCTATAGGGCACATGCCAGACAGATGGAGAGAGACAGAAAGCGAGAAATCACCCCCCAGGGGGGATGGTCACGCCGCAATCCCTTCTCCTCCATTCTCCTCTCGGGATCTTGGGCACGCCACGCACGCGTGCCTTGCATGAGTTTTAAGCCACCGGGTCTGGGACGCGAACCGCGGTCAACTACATGGGAGTCCAGCGACATAGCCATTACGCTAACTGCTGGTTCCCACCCAGCATGTTTTAAAAGCTGCTGGGTCCAGGACTCATGAATGAAATATATAGTAACTGACTGAAAATTGTTCTAGAGAGATTCAAAAGCAGATTCAAGCAGGCAAAAGAAGGGATTAGGTAGTATGAAGATAGGGTCATTTAAAAAGTGCTGTCTTTGGGGGACTAGCAGATGGCATAATGGTTATGTCATTGGACTCCCACATAGTCAACTATGGCTCAAGTCCTGGACCTGGTAGCTGGAAACTCACACTGGGCGTGTGTGTGTGTGTGTGTGCACGCGCGCGCGCGTGCACATGCGCGCAAGATCCCGAGAGGAGAATGGAGAAGGGATAGCAACATGGCCATCTCCCTTGAGGGGTGATTTCTTGCTTTCTATCTCTCTGTCTCTCTGGTGAGTGCACACACTCTATAGCAAAAAAAAAAACAAAAACAAAACTCTCTTTAATGAAAAGAGTGTCTAGGGGCCAGCAGGTGGCATAGTAGTTAAGACACTGAACTCATACAGTTGACTGCTACTCAAGTCCTGGACTTGGCAGCTTGAAATTCATGCTGGCGTGTGTGCATGTGTGCCCAAAATTCCAAGAGGAGACTGGAGTTGGGATTGCAGCAGGGCCATCCCTCCCTGGAGGGTGGTTTCTCACTTTATCTCTCTCTGTCTGTCTCTGTCTCCCCAGCAAGCGTACGTGCCCGAGAGCCAAAGTCTCTTAAAAAAAAATGCCATCTGAGGAATAGGAAAAAAAGAAAAGATGGAAGACAAATGAACAAAACTTGAGGGAGCTCTGGGTTATAATAGAAATTTTAAAAACTGATTGTGATAGTTACAGAATAGTGAAGGTAGCAGAGAGATGATTTGCCTAAAACTTTTCCAGATTGGATGATAAGCATTTAAGAAGCTCAACAAATTCCAAATAAGATAAACTCAGACCCACATGAAGACACATGTCATGACAGAGGCAGGAGAAAGGGGATTTATCATGTGCAAGTGACCTTTACGAGGAGAACCCTCAGAGGCTAGAAGACAGTGGGTTGATAAAATCAAAGTGCCAAAGGCGGAAAAAACCTGTCAGCCAAAAAAATCAATATCTAGTAAAATCATCAAATCAATATCATCAAAAATAAGGGAGAAGTGGAGCCAGCAGGCGGTGTGGTGGTTACGATGCTGGACTCACACATAGCTGACCACAGTTTGAGTCCTGGACCTCGCGGCTTGAAAATCCCACTGGGTGTTTGTGTGTGTGCATGCCCCAAATCACAGGAGATTGGAGGAAAGGGACCGTGGCCACTCCCGGGGTTTGGTTTCTCACTTTCCCTCTCACTGTCTCTTCGCTGAGCACACACCCTCTACGGTATATACCTTAATGGGAGAAGTTAAAGACACTTCCAGGTAGTAAAATACTGGGGCCAGCAGCTCGCATGGTGATTCGGGCACTGGACTCCCCAATGGTTAGGTCCCAATGGTCAGATGTGGTTTGAATCCTGGATCCGCTGGCTTAGGACTCAGGTCGAGCACGTGTGTGTCCATGTCCAAAACCCTGGGAGGAGAATGGAGAAGGAATTATGGAGCCACGCCCCCCCCAGGGGGATGATTTCTCACTTTCTCTGTCTCTGGAGAGTGCAAAAACCTTAGAGAGAACAAAAAACGGACTAGCAATGGCATAATGGTTACATGACTTGACTCCCATGTAGTTGACCACAGTTTGAGTACTCATGGGAGAGGAGACAGAGAGAGAAAATGAGCAATCACCCCCTAGGAAGGATGGCCGTGTTGAGACCTTCTCCCTTATCTTCTCAGGATTTTAGGCATGCACACATATGTGCCCAGCGTGATTTTCAAGCTGGGTCAGAGACTTGAACCACAGGTGTCTATGTCAGAGTCCAGCACCATCACCACTATGCCACCTGCTGGCCCCATAATTTAATGTACTCTCAACTCAGTAATTGAGTAGTTGATTCTATAATCCAAAACCTCCTGATCTCAAGGCATCACTGGTGAATTCTGCCCAACATTTTTTTTAATGTTTTCAGCCATATTTTTAAAGAATTATTTTATTTAACTTTATTTATTATTATTATTATTTTCCAATTTGATCAGAAAGAGACAGAGAAAGAGAGAGAGAGGGAAAGTGAGAAAGCAAGCCACCAGGTCTAGGACTTGAACTCTATAGTCAACTAGGTTGGAGTCCAGCGATGTAACCATTATACCATCTTCTGGTGCCAAATAAATTAATTTTTTAAAAAGAAGCTTAGGTAGAAGGAAAGGGGGACAGCATCAAAAGAATTGAAAAAAATTCTTACGTAAAAATGAACATACAAGGAGGGTAGGAAATGCTTGGTGCCGGGAACATTGCACTTAGGCGCTCAGAAAGTGCTTCCCAGTCTTGGCCACCCGTAGAAGTATCTGAACAATTTTTGAAATCTCTATGTCCAGGCTGCGTTGTATACCAGTGAAATCCAAATTCTGAGGATGGGGACCAGCAGTTAGCATAATGGCTATGTGGCTGGACTCCCATGTAGTCTACCATGGTTCGAGTCCCAGACCCGGTGGCTTAAACTCACTCCTGCACGTGTACGTGCGTGCCCAAGATCCCAAGAGGAGAATGGAGGAGAAGGTATTGCGGCATGGCCATCCCCACCCTACCCCCACCCCCTGGAGGTGATTTCTTGCTTTCTCTCTCTGTCTTTCTGGAGAGTGCACGCGCCCTATAGCAAAAACCTCTCCAAAAAGAAATCAAATTCTGAGGGTGAAGCCAGGCCACCTGTAGCCTCAACTTTCCAGATGATTCCATCGTGTAAAACTTGAGAACCATCGTTGAGGAAAACAGACTAATAAGCCTTATTTAGAAAGTCTACCTGTGGGGCCAGCAGGTGGCGTGGCGATTGGAGTACTGGATTCCCACATGACTGACTGTGGTTTGGGACTCAAACCCCGGTGACTTGAAAATCATGACTACTAAATAGGTAGATAAGTAAGTAAATAAATAAACGTTTACACAAAACCCTGAGGACACAAGACTTGGTTTCACAGGCTCGTTTGTCTTCCCAGCTGGCCTTGGGCGGACGGGCACGCTGATCGCCTGCTACATCATGAAGCACTACAGGATGTCAGCGGCCGAGACCATCGCGTGGGTCCGCATCTGTAGACCAGGCTCCGTGATTGGGCCTCAGCAGCAGTTTCTGGTGATGTGAGTAGACAGAAAGCTTTTATAATTCTAATTCGTCAGGGAATGCGTGGGCCTGGAAACAGGAGGAAGTGGCATTCTCCTTTGTCTCCTGTAACAGTTTGCTAAGAGCAAGTTGTTGCTCTGTCTTTCTGGAAAGCTGTATTTTGATGTTATTTAAATGCTCTAGGAAACAAGCAAGCCTCTGGCTGGAAGGTGACTATTTTCGTCAGAAGTTAAGGGTACAGGAGAGTGGACAACACAGAGCAGCCTTCTCCAAACTCCTCTTGGGTGTCGATGACATTTCAATAAATGGAGTCAAGAATCCAGACAAGCCAGAACCTGAACCGGTAATCGAACCGTCCCCGTCGCGCTGTTGTCAATGCTTTAAATGCTGTTGGGAACCTTTAAGGGCATGGAGAACATCATAGGTAAAAATAATAAAGCACATTTTGAGGGTTTATCGTCATACGGTTTTTGTATTTATAACCCTCTCTAGGGCCTGAAGATGGTTAAGAGTGAATGTTCATAGAACAGATATTTTTTCCCCTCACTAGGGTCAGGTGGAAACGGTGTGTGCAGTTAGCACTTTAGCCGATCTGTTGGGTCATCAGGAAAGTCATGATGCATTTTTGCATAGAAAATTACGTCATGACTTTCCCCATGAGCTAATAGTTACCCTCCTGTCTTCCACCACCTTTTCCCATCTCATGATAGCTGGTCTAGCGAACCAGTAATTCTCCACTGCAAAACTCGCTAAAGAAACAAGGGTTTAGGGAGTAGTGGTGATTAATTAAATGGTGGCGGTTGATTGTGAAATTTCAGAAAGACTGTTTTCAAAATCGAGAACCTGAAATATGCCTCTTCGCTGTCACTGCCAATATTATGTCTTCTAATGGAAGTGTGGTTGGGCTCTGTGTCTATGAAAATCAACTTTGGTCATCTTAAAACGTGACCTCTAGCTGATTTTATTTTGTTATTCTGTGTATTTTTAAAAAGATAATTATTTGTTTGATTTTCTTTATTATTATTATTCTTTAATTTGCACTCAAGAGAGAAAGTGAGAAAGCAAGCCACCAGGTCCGGGACTCGAACCATGGTCGGCTATGTGGGAGTCCAGCACTTTAACCACCATGCCAGCTGCTGGGCCCTCTAGGTTGATTTTGGAAGGAGGAAAATCTTTGGGAGTCCAGCAGAGACTCGAAGGGCACGCGTTCGTGGATAAGTAGCTGCTGTGCGTTACTGCATTACCAAGTGCAACTCAGATCGTTAGCTTGGTGTTCTTTTACTTATGCAGTACAGTGATGACGACGAAGTCAATGGCGTGACACAAGGTGATAGACTGCGGGCCCTGAAAAGCAGAAGACAATCAAAAACAAACGCTATTCCCCTCACGTGAGTCTGGCTTCCTCTGCTGTGGGGGGTGGTGGTAAATAGTTGGATGGGGCCCGTCCTGAGCCTTTTTTTGTCCTGTCCATGATGTGATAGGACAATTGTGAAATGATCGCCCATGCTGCTTCAGACCTCAGGGTGCTGGCTTCCCTCGGAGGCGCCCCACTGCATCCGTGTCCTCTGTCTTACCTCCCGAGCCTTCGTAGGTAGGCGAGCAGTACAGGAGTACCTTTTCTCTGTAGATAATCAGCAGGTGACAGCCTCAGGGCAGTGACAGCAGGTGGAAAGCTCAGAACAGACTTTTCCACGGTTACTAAAATTGAGAAGTTATTTCAGTTCACTCCCCTATTGTATTTCATCTGTTTTTGCTGTAGTAATTTGTCCATTGTGTCCTGATGGCTTAATCTTGTTATATTCTTTCTTTTTTTTTTTTTTCCTTTTGGAGAGATTTTTGCTATAGGGTCCATGTGCTCGCCAGACAGACAGAAGAAAGTGAGAAATCCCCCCCTGGGGGGATGACCATACCGCAGTCCCTTCTCTTCCATTCACTTTTCAGGATTTGGGGCATACACATACATGCACCCAGTGTGAATTTCAAGCTACCACGTCTGGAACTCAAATCGTGGTCAGCCATGTGAGAGTCCAGCCCCTTAACCACAATGCCACCTGCTGGCCCCAACCTTGTATTGTTAGGGGGCAACAATTAATTAGTTTAAACTAAATTGTTTGGATTTTTTGTTTGTTCGTTTGGAAAATCACTTTGAAATTATAAAAGGAAAGTTAGCATGAGAATTAGAAATTTTACATTTATTGAACATTTATATGGCCACATGTACTCTTTTGGAAGGGGGGCAGGTTTTTTTGATAGGGCATATGTGCTTGCCAGAAAGACATAAAGAGAGACAGAAGGTGTCCCCAGGGGGATGGCCATGCTGTAATCCCTTATCCTCCATTCTCCTCTCAGAATCCATCAGTTTAAGCCACCAGGTCAGGGACTTGAACCACGGTCGACTACGTGGGAGTCCAGTGACATAGCCATTACACTAACTGCTATTCCCAGCCATGTGTACTTTCTTGAATGTGTGTATTAATTTGGAGTCAACCTTATCTAGGATTGTTAGAAAAATACACAGAATCAAAACATGGCCGGTACCATTTTTTTAGGTTTTTTGTTTTTTTTTTTTTTCTGGCTAGAAGGGCGTGTGGAGAGAAGAGAAAGCGTTCCCTCATAGGGAATGGTCGCACAGCAATCCCTTCTTCATCTCACTCCCCTGAGATTTTGGGCATACAGGCACATAACACCCGCTATATTTCTCAAGTGGCAGGGCCTGGGACTTGAATTGCACTGTTGGCCATATGGGATCCAGCTGCCTCAACCACTGCAGATGCAGCCGGGCTGTTCTTAAGTACACACCCCAACTTGTGTCACTCATAATCTTCCTTTTCATTATGAGGCACCAGATTCCCAGCCCTCTTTTCCAGGGGTAGAGAGAGTGCGATGGAAAGAAATCATTTTATTCAGGAAGCATATTGTAATACAGTAAGGAACTGATGATATAGTAAGTCGTTTAGATTAGGAAAGAACAGGCTTTTTAACAACTATCAGCAGTTCTTCACTGGTATCTCCTCAGAATCTAAAGTTCTGAAGCAGAATTCACCCTAAGCATGTGTCACCATGGGTACTTCCCCTGGGAGCTTCTTAAAAGATAAAAAGCAAAGTGTCGAGTTTTCTTTTTTCTTTTTATTAGCATAGTCTGATTTTATTCATCATCATTATATTTTTTTTCTTTGACCACAGTGAGGCAGAGAGAGAAAGGGGGGGAAAGTGAGAAAGCAAAGCTGCCAGGTCCAGGACCTGAACCATAGTCAGCCATGTGGGAGTCCAGTGCCTTAACCACCACGCCACCTGCCAGCCCCAGGTGTCAAGTTTTCTAACGCAAAGTGTCATACACCTGTAAGCATCTGATTGATTATAGGCATTTATTAAGTGTTCTCTTTGTAGCTTTAAGTGGTACTTCCATTAGCTAAACTGCTTTAAGAATGATGCCATTTGTGTAATTTCTTAAAACTGCAAATTTTGAAATTAGTTTTATTTAAAGTCTTCATATGAATCCTTAATGGTTCTTTTTTATTTATTTATTTATTTATTTATTTATTTATTTATTTTTGAAGAGGTTTTTGGTATAGGGCGTGTGTGCTCATCAGAAGGACAGAGAGAGACAGAGAGACAGAAAGTGGGAAATCACCCCTCAGAGAGGATGGCCATGGATGGCCACGCTGCAATCCTTTCTCCTCCATTCTCCTCTTGGGATCTTGGGCACGCACGCACACGCGCCCGGCGTGAGTTTAAACCACCGGGTCCGGGACTGAAACCGCGGTCGACTACGTGGGAGTCCAGTGACATAGCCATTATGCTAACTGCTGGTCCCAATGGTTCTTTTTATATAGAAAAACAGTGCCTCCAGATAATCATCCTCATCTAATTATAGCCACGATGGTGCCCTGGAACAGGGCTTGTCAGGCTTCAGTGTACCTTTGAGTCACCTGGGAAGCATGTTAAAATGCAGCAAAAACCTTTAAAAAAAAAAAAAAAAGGCAGATTATGCTGAGTAGCATGAGGGAAGGGCCTAAGATTGTGCATTTCTTGCAAACATCTCTTGTAGATGCTGCTCGTCCAGGGACCACACTGAATTGCAAACCCTAGAAAATTGATGCGTTTGTGGGTTGCCCGTAGCTGTGCGCAGGGCCGGGTTTTGTTTCTGAGAATCTGCATCGTTAGTTTATTTCTTGCCCTCTGTTCAGAAGTCAAGTTGGAAGTCAGCAACTGCAGAGTGTGCTTGGCCAAAGTTCTTGTTAACTGGGGCTAGGAGAAAATGTTCTTTAATTGCCCTCTGAGTCTGCTCCCTTTAGGATTATAGTTTCTTTCTTTTTTTTTTTTTTTACATTTTATTTATTTAATTTTATTTGTTGTTATTTTTAATTAGACCACGAGAGACAGAGAAAGGGAAAGAAAGAAAGCAAACTGCCAGGTCCGAGACTTGAACTGTGGTCAACTGTATAAGAGTCCAGTGCTTTAACCACCACACCACCTTCTGGCTCAAGAATACATTTTCTAGGAACCAGCAATTAACTTAATGACTAAGTTGCTGGACTCCCATGTGGTCGACCATGGTTCGAGTCCCAGACCCGGTGACTTTAACTCATGCTGGGCGTGTGTGTGTGCGTGTCCAAGATCCTGAAAGGAGAATGGAGGAGAAGGGATTGAGGCGTGGCCATCCCCCGGTGGGTGATTTCTCGCTTTCTGTCTGGCGAGTGCACGTGCCCTATAGCGAAAACCTCTCAAAAAAAAAAAAAAACATTTTTCAATTTTATTCATCATTATTACTTTTTAACGTGCTTCAAGATATGTGCACTCACCAGAGAGAGGGAAAGTGAGAAAGCAAGCGGCCAGGTACGGGACGTGAACCACAGTTGGCCATGTGGGGATCCAGCGCCTTAACCATCACACCACCTGCTGACTCCTACAGGCCACACTTTTAAAGAATAAAACTTAAAAAATAAATAAATAAATAAAAAAGAATAAAACTAAAAGTTAAGGTTTTTCTAAGCTTTTCATTATATTTCCAAACCCTGGGGGATTTAAAAATTATAGCAAACCCTCTTCCTCTACCTTTACAGTATTTTGGTTTTTCTCTCTGCTTTTTAAACCCTCTTTGCTGTTATTATCTGTAGTAGTTCTTTTGGCTCTAGAAGTGGCAGTCAGCTGGAGATTTCTTTTCTTTCCCTTCTGCATCTTTGTTGTTATTTTCAAAATAAAAGTACCTGCCAAAATAGTTCAGCAGCAACATGGATTAAGAATCTTAAATCATTTCCTGCCTCCTGATTTTGTTGTTTAAGTATTTACTTATCTCTTACATGAGAGAGATGGGGGCAGCCCCAGCAGGGTCTTCATACAATGACACCCCCTCCTTCCCAGCCAGCCCAGATCCCTGGTACGTGTGTGACTGGGCACTGTGCTCAGGGATGCGAACTGAGGACCCTTCCCCTATGGGTCTGGTTGCATCATCACTGTACCACCGCCTGGCTCTGGCTCCCCAGTTTTGGTTCATCAGCGACTGGACAAATTACTTGGCTTCAGTGTTGGTACTTAACCATATGAAAATACTTGCAAAAGGCATGCATGTACTAGAGATTCCTAGGAGCAGATCATAATATATAGAACATAAAATATTCCAACGATCCACTTCACTCTCCAGAAATATTTAGGTAGAGTTAACGTTGCTAGAAACTGTGAAGTAGTCATATATTCTCGGAGAGCCTGTCTGTGAAGACAGTAGATCAAGTAGCACGACAAGGTTCATCTGATCTTCAGGACTTCGTGGCAAGTGTATTGTCAGCACCGGACGTGATTCTGTAGCCTGAGACGTGCCACCCAGCCTTCTGCATGCCGATCACCCTGCAGGGTTTCTTAGGGTTAGACACGAAGAGGAGAGTTGTACCCTAGACGTCTAAGGTGAAGAGAGGTGTAGTTAGCCTGGAACATCCCTACTTCCTCTTAACGGTGCAGTAGAGATGGGCCTGTATTTCAGAAATGGAAAACCGTTGTTAGGTCCTGAACTTTGCTAGGACCTCAGAAATAAAATCTATAGTGCAGACAGCTGGGCACTCAGTCCACTCTTCCTGTGCAGTAGCAGTTAAGTCAGCCACTGCGTACGAAGGTTGGGGTGGGTAGAGTTCTCTACAATAGGTCTTTAAAAGACTTCTGGAAAATGCAAACTTTTGAAGTTCCTCCCTTACAGTATTACTAGGCTGTTTGTTCCATTCCATTTCAATAGATGAAGTCTCTGTAATCTTTTGTTTTGTTTTGTTTTATGAGAGATTTTTGCTGTAGGGCACGTGCGCTTGCTGGAGACACAAGAGAGAGACAGAAATGGGAACCAGCAGTTAGCGTAATGGCTATGTCGCTGGACTCCCACGTAGTCAACCGCAGTTCATGTCCCAGA